GTCCAGACAACCTTAAAAACAAATTAAAGTTCCGACATTCATAAACATTCATCAAGGCTTGGTCTCCAAAACAGAGAGGAGAACGCCGGCGAGTTTGGTCATCTCCTGATCGAACCGGCTAACCTCCGGCAACGAAACCTCAAACTCCTCCAGCGCGTTTCTGCAGTCGAAGAACGTGATCGACGATAGGTAAGTCTTCAGCGCCGAAGTCGGATCGTTCTTCACGAACTCCACGCACTTCCCGAGGTCGAAGATTATGTTGTCGATCGCCTCCGTACACGTGGACCCGATCGACACCCTCGACTCCGGGAACAGGCTTACGGGGAGCCTCTTAGCGACGCCGGCGGCCATCGGAACCGCCGCCTTCGCCTTGACGGCGGTGGCCAGGATCGCGTTCGTCATCGCCTGCGGCCAGGTCTTGGCGCCGTTCACCATCTGGGTGCAGAGGGCTCGGGTCGGGTGGGCGGTCCGGCAGAAGGGGCTGAAGTTGCCGGCTTTGCGGGACTCGACGGCGTGTGCGGCGGCGGTGGTGGAGAGGAGGATGAATGTTGTCGCCAGGAGGGCAAATGAGGATGAAATTACGGTGGTACCCCTAGGACTCATTTTCTCCTTTTTTATTATTATTTTATATATTTTTAGGCTCTTGCAGAAAATGAGTCGAGGCTTTATGAATTAATGCTAATTAGATCAAAGTATTGTGATATTAGATTTGCGAGTTTAAATAAGCGAATTTATGGTTTGGCGTTTTTTTCTCATTTTCCGTTTTATTTTCTGGCTGCTATTCTCTTGAAATGCAACTCCATTTATTGCCGTTGATAAAGCTTTCAAATACATTTATTTAATTGTAAATTATTAAAATATCTAATTAGTACTTTATAAATCTTTACATGTAATGGATAATCGATATATAATGCGATAAATTATGTAATATAGTATATATATGTAATATATGTTTTGTATTGTATATTGTATATATGCATGCTGCAGCCTGCATGCACATATAGCATGCTTAAATTTAATTATAAATTTAAAACCAATATATGTGACAGTATTCAAACTACTCCAATCCGTTTATGCAATCAATAAATCATTTTTCACCTTAAGCATTTTATTTAATGAAATGAATAATTAACAATATTAATATATATATACCTTTATATTAAATAGCCATATATAGCGATCCGAACTTGAAAGCAGCCCAAGATCCACTCAAAAGTTTGGCCCAAAGAGAGAAAGCCACCAAGGCCTACTAAGGTGTGCCACTTAGAAAGCAGCCCAAGCCAAAAGCGACTTCTCGTCGATATGTCCGAGCGGAAGGGAGGAGCCGTCGGACACCGACGCAATAAATGCATTGACACTAGCATTTATTACCCGAATGACTGGTGACAGGTGAAAAAGAGGAGAGTTTAAGGAAATGTGCAACAAGACTATCTGTCTAGGAATCACGCGAGGTGGCGATGAACTGATTAGATGGTAATGGTTCGGGATTACCAGGAGAAGGCATAAAGGAGGCGACATGGGTGGCGGTAGGTCTATCATCGCCCCAATTTTCAAGGGTTGGTAAGGCTCGAACTAGAGTGTTATAAATAGGACTTCCCGTTTCTCGAAAAAGAGAGTTTTTAAATATTCATACACTGGCCAATCTGTTTCTTTATAAAAAAGTATTTTAAGTAAATTCATAAGATCGTTTATTGCCCTTTACTGCCTTGACCGTAGCCCGTAGGTGTGCTAACTCCGACTAGTAGAGATTTCCGATAATTGTGAATTGATCTCTAACATACAAGACGCTTTCAGGACGGATCATATAGTATATATAAATGGTTTCGTGCCAGTTTTTTTTGGCGCCATTTGCCATTCATTATTTCTCCAATATATATATATATATATATATATATATATATATATATATATATATATATATATATATATATATATATATATATATATATATATATATATATATATATATATATATATGAGATGTGATAAATGTCGTTCGAGCTTTAATAATACCATTACGACTTCAAACGTGATTTTGATCATTATTAATTCCAAATTTTGCAAAACCCAAAAAATAGAATTTGTGGTATTCTTAGTTAGTTTTGTAATCCAATTTGAATCACCAAAGTTGGATGTCTGACGAGAAAAGATATACATGAATCAATGAATACTGCCTACAACTTTGATGTATTGAGGTATCTAAAATTCAAAATGTCGCTCATTCATGCATAACTTTGTCACACGGTATCCAATCTAGCGGATTTAAGTTGGATTAGAAAGATAACACAAAGGTCTACAGTTTTCATGTTTTGAATTTTGCCAAAATCAGAATAGAAATATGTCAAAATAAAGTTTGAAGTCAAAACGACATTTAACATTTCAGTATATATATTTGCCATTCATTAAAAAATACTTCCTTCATGCAAAATTAAATTAGTTACCGTTTCGAAGAGTTTTTTTACAAATTATTTATTACTTTAGAATTATAATAATGTATTTATTATAATTTTCTCAATTTCGTACTCAATAATTGATTAAAAAAAAAGATTTTAAAAAAGCCAAGAAAATTGTCCATTAATCGGTTACATTACATTATTACATGGGAACACAGACAAAATAATAATTACATGATTCCCTCTAAAAAATGGATGGAAAAATAGTCAAAATACTATTTATTCATCATCCAATAATTAATCTGTACCCATATACTAAAACAATTAAATCAACAAATATATATTTACGACAGTAACTGTAACACGACCCAAAAAGACATCCCTCTTGGAGACATCATCGGAAATGAAACAACCCGAAAATAAAAATAAAAAATATATATTTATATAAAAATAAAAATAAAATTAATTAATTCTGCAAAATAACTGCCAAGCAATTGTCCACCCTCCTGGTCAAATGGCCCGCGTATTTATTGAGTGGGAAGTCGGGTCCAGCCGGTTTCATGGCTTCCTGGCAGTCGGTCCTCAAAGCCGCGCTGAGGTGAGCCGCCACGGCACCTATGTCGTTGGTTTTAAAAGCTTGTAGGCTCACCTCTAAATCATCGACAACGTTGTAGAAATCGTTGTCGCAGGTCTTCATTATCTCTTCCACCGTCGCAGGATCCAAATGGCTCAGAGCCGGCTTCAAGATGGGGACCAAGTCCTTGAGCCGCCTAGCCAGATCCAGCGTGGCGAGCATCGCGTTGTTCGACGCGTCGCGCCAGTCAGACGCGCCGTTCACCATCTGTGTGCAGATGCGCCTGTAGCTAGCCGTGTGGCAGAATCGGTTCACGCCGACGAATCTTCGAGCCTCCGCCTGCAGCGGAATCTGAGCGGCGCCGAGGAGAATAAGAGCAGCCGCGGCTGCAAAGAGATAGTTGAACTTTATTGGAGCCATTGTAAATATAATAAATATAATAAAAAAAAAAAAATACACTTTTAATATATTCTTTTTTTTTTTTTTTAAATTATATATAATTGGCTCCTGGAGTGAGTTCTTCTATCTCTTATTTTCTCTTTTGATAATCTCTCTCGGTAATTAGAGTGCAGAATATCACGTATGATTGAGAAAATAGAGAAGTGTTGTTCAATATAATGTGGATTAATAGGTGTTTAATTAGTAATTAGGATCAATGGTTTTTCTGTTATTTCGCAGTGTTTAGCGGTTTTCCTTTGATGTAAGTTTTATTATTTATTTCGACCACAAGTATTAAATTAATTATCAAATTTTAAAAATTGACACATGTCATAGTTAATTTTTTGATACCTCTCTTTGCAGGATGTTCATATAATTCTATTTTTAGATGATTTTTTTTTTCTTTTGTGGACGTATAATATTAAATAATGATAATAAAAATTTAATTTTGTAAAAAAAAATTAAAAACTTCTATAATTATTTATGAGAAATTAAAATTGGAATACGAATTAAAATCTCGATTGATGGGCTTATGTCTAAAGATAGTATATTCCTAGCCCAATATGTATAATTATGGATCCAAAACAATCAAATTTAGCCTTTTTACACATAAAAACCCAATTTCATTAATCCTCTATATAAATATATGCCATTATTCATAATTACAAGAAAGCCATTAATAGAAATTCTTGTTAGGTAGTGGTTAAACACACACCAACTTGCAGTAGCAGTAAACTTCACTATCACGAGTTTACAGTTAAGTCAAACAAAAGATATTCGTTGACCAATTAAGTCTTCCATCTGCCTCAAATTGATTGTTAATTTGATCTATATTTCTTCATAAAGGATTTAATTATCCTCCAACTTACAATAATAAAAATTAAAAATTAAAAATTTAAATAAACAAATAAAAAATACAGGGAGAAAATATTTAATTTGGTGATATGATTTGACCACTTGGTTAGCTAGAAAGAAGAAGGCATGTAACCCGCAAGGGTGGCCTAGCGGTTGGAAGCAAGGGAGCTTGGGTCAATTGACCCAAGTTCGAATCCCCTTGACAACGGTCGCTAGGTCGAGCTTGTCACACATGGTTAGCCTAGTGTGGTTTAAATCTCTCGTATGGTTTGCAAGCTATTATACGAGAGTGATATACGAGAGTGTAGGTTTACCCAGTGCACCTATATGGTTGGCTGCGGGTTCCTGCATTATCAAAAAAAAAAAAAAAAGAAGAAGGCATGTATCATTCATGAATGTGAAAACAGATGCATGCACGTTAAAAACGGTGACTTCCCAATGCATTAATTGCTTTTCTAGATACTCGCAAGATTCTATTATATTCTGCGAGATGCGATAAATATCGTTTTAGTTTTAGTAATATTATCTCTATTTCGGACGCGATTTTGATTATTTTGGAAAAAAGTGAATTCGGCAAAGCTTCGATCACTAAAATTGGACGCCGGGTGAGAAAAATGTACATGAATTAATGAATATTGTCTACAACTTTGATGGATCGTTATCTAAAATTCGAAATGTAACTTATTTAAGCGTAACTTTGTCATACGACATCCAGTATAGTTGACTTTTGTTAGATTAAAAAAATAACTCACAAAGCTTCAGTTTTTGTGAATTCTACCAAAATTAGACTACAAACGGATGAAAGTCACGTTTGAATTCAAAACGATATTAATAAATTTAAAACGACATTTAATATTTCAGTAAATATGGCCCAACCAACTTATAAACCTAGTGCTAAATTGCAAATGACCAAAATACCCCTAAAAGACTATAAAACCTTGATTAGTTGAGTAAAACAAAGGGGTAGGCGCAGGTTTTAACAATTTCCTCTGTCATCACTCATCACTGTCTAAAATTTGACGGTCAGGATTTGTAAAACAAGAGCACAAGAACAAAAGGTCAGTTTTAAGATTTGTCATTAATCCCTTGATTATCTGGTAATTACAATTTTCCAATTTCTTTAACTAAATACTAGCTTGTCTCTGGTGTTTCTTGGATCATTTCACCTAATTCAGAAATTAAAGAGGGCTTAATCGTCATTTATACACATGAAACAAAATAGTTAAATTTGAAGAGACAACTGAATCTCTTACCAAGTCAACGAACAGCAAATTGCAGATTCATCCCCTTGGATTCCTGGTAAGCTCCAAAGTCAATGGATGCAAAAATCATTTGTTTCACACATCACTTTCCTACTAAGCACAAACCTTTGAACTTCACGCCCCTTATCAATTAATATTCAAACTTTTCTCCCCAAAAAATACAAAAATTCCTACTTACCCACATGTCAAAGAGTAAGTGAGCAATGTGACTCGGCGATAAGTTTTTTTAGCCTTTCGAACTCCATTTGTATCCGTCATAAATAATTTATAGCTAGTATAATTTATATTTCTCGTGCAGTTCGCAAAAATATTGCACTAAACCGGATATTTAGTCAATGCACTTGTATTGACTAAGTGGGTTAATTAAGACTTGTTCATTAAAAAAATAAAGGTTGATTCTCCTAGATTCTAAGCATCCAATTCTTTTAATGCAAACCAAAGAAAATTAAAGTTTGAAATATTAGCCGACTTCCAAATAAACATGCTGTCACTTTTCGACTTTGAGTTGTTAACCCTATTTTGAATTTCCTTACAACTTTTTTGATCAGAAAAAGACAACCTAAATCGAGAATTTTAGATGCTACACTTAATTATTTACTCTGAGTGCATAGTGAGTAGTTACTTAATTAAATTTAGGGTTCAAATTCATCCAATGTAAATAACAAGGCGTAACATCTGACTCCGACTCCGTCTAAATTGTTGTTCAATAAAAAAGAAGTTTAAATAAATTAAAGGACAAACCTAATTTATTGGTCCAAATGCATAAATTAGTTGCATGTCATATCCGAAATACTGAAGTTATATAAAGGCAGCTGAAGTTTAACATTATTTAGTTGTCGGGTCATAATTTATTACCTTCAGTTTCCTTGTAAACAATTCTCTACAGTTAATATGGAGATTTCTCATGGCTCTTACAATCAGAAGAAATTCGCACTTCCGGTGGACTCCGAGCACAAAGCCACCGAATTCCGGCTATTCTCCGCCGCCGCGCCGCACATGCGCGCGTTCCATCTCTCCTGGATATCCTTCTTCGCATGCTTCGTCTCCACCTTCGCCGCCCCGCCGCTGCTCCCCATCATCCGGGACAACCTCGACCTCACCGCCACCGACATCGGAAACGCCGGCATCGCCGCCGTCTCCGGCGCCGTCTTCGCCAGGATCGCCATGGGGACGGCGTGCGACCTGTTCGGGCCCCGCCTCGCCTCCGCCACGCTCACACTCCTCACCGCGCCGGCGGTCTACTGCACCTCAATCGCCGACTCGCCAATCTCCTTCCTCCTCGTCCGCTTCTTCACCGGCTTCTCCCTCGCCACCTTCGTCTCCACCCAGTTCTGGATGAGCTCGCTTTTCTCCGGCAGGGTCGTCGGAACCGCCAACGGCGTCGCCGGCGGATGGGGCAACCTCGGCGGCGGCGCAACCCAGCTGATAATGCCCCTCGTCTTCGACCTCATCCAGAACATCGGCGCCACCAAATTCACAGCCTGGAGAATCGCGTTCTTCATCCCTGCGCTCTTTCAGACACTGTCGGCGTACGGCATCTTCTTCCTCGGACAGGATTTACCCGACGGAAACTACTCGGAGCTCCACAAATCCGGCGAGAAGCACAAGGACAACTTCGCCCAGGTTTTCCACCACGCCGTCACAAATTACAGAGGGTGGATACTGGCGTTGACCTACGGCTACTGCTTCGGAGTTGAGCTCACCATTGACAACATCATCGCGCAGTACTTTTACGACAGGTTCAACGTGAATCTTCACACAGCTGGAATTATTGCCGCCAGCTTCGGGCTGGCGAATCTTTTCTCCAGGCATTGATACGATCTCTTGTGTATCATAAGAATTCTTTACGAAACGTAAGAAAACTATTCTTTATTATTTCTCTGCATAATCAAAACCCTAGCACAAGACGACTATTTAAAGATAATAACCCTAGAATCCTAATCTAACTAGGAAAGATAATTACCTATACTAATAAAATACTTAATAATCCCTAATCACTAAACATACGGCTAAATATATATCCTAAATAAACTATTCTAATTAATTAATAATAAAATACTAACTAACTAATAATTAAATACTATATTAAATAATAAATCCCAACATTCCACCCCGCTTGAAATGAATCTTGTCCTCAAGGTTCGAATCAATTTGGTCCCTCTCCTTTGTGTTTCCACCTATGTTTGACCTCATCGACTTGCTTCCCGATTGACTCCGAAAAACACGATGAACGACCAAACTCTTTAACACATGGCTCTTGCTGACCCCAAGAGATTCCAAAGGCTACTTTTGCGAAAATACTCAATATGTTTCCCGAAAAATAAGCATCTTCACGTTCCGGCTCATTCACAATCACCAACTCTCGTTCGTCTTCTTTATTTTGGAAGTTGTGGCATCCTTCCAATATATTTTTTAATTCTTCGTCCTCCTCGCTACTTAACTCCTCGTGCCCTTTCCAAATTATCTCACTTAAGACGAGTGATTCTTCAATCTCCTTATTGGTTAATTTCTCGTCTTCATCCCAAATTACTTCTACCGAATCCGGTAATTCTTCTTTCGGCGAACTCATAAAAAATCGGGGCTCTTCGACAAAATCATCGTCGTCCTCTTCCTCTCCCTTCGGCCACAGGCTCGGCAACGGCGGTGGTGATGGTAGCGGTGGCGTTGGCGGTGATGGGCGGCGGTCCCTTCGGCTTTTGTGTTGGCGTTGACGTCGTCCGTGACTTTGTTCGAGTAATTTCTGAAAATCGATCCGTAATTTCTCTACGGATTTTTCCAATCGCTCCAACCGTCTTGTTTCTGACATCGTGATTTCACAAAGTTTTGATGTGATCTCAACTTTGCTCCAGCGTAGCTTTGATATAATCGCTGCCTTGCTAACGAAGCGTTGGTGTTAATCGCAACTTCGCTCTGATACCAATTGATGCGATCTCTCGAGTATCATAAATATTTCCTACGAAACGTAAGATCTATTCTTTAATATTTTTCTCTTCATAATAAAACCCTAGCACAAGACGACTATTTAAAGATAATAACCCTAGAATCCTAATCTAACTAGGAAAGATAATTACCTATACTAATAAAATACTTAATAATCCCTAATCACTAAACATACGGCTAAATATATATCCTAAATAAACTATTCTAATTAATTAATAATAAAATACTAACTAACTAATAATTAAATACTATATTAAATAATAAATCCCAACAGCCAGGTGGCGGTATGCTGTCGGATTTCATGGCGAAGAGGTTCGGAATGAGGGGAAGGCTTTGGACACTGTGGGTAGTTCAGACATTAGGCGGAGTTTTCTGCATTATTTTAGGGCAAGTTGGATCTTTGGGTGTTTCGGTTGCGGTGATGCTCGTTTTTTCTGTGTTCGTTCAAGCCGCCTGCGGCCTCACCTTTGGCGTAGTTCCTTTCGTTTCTAGAAGGTATGTACGTGTAATCAGTAACCTTACACGTAACCGAGCCAGCATAGAACTAAGGGGGCCATGGCCCCCACCCGATCATGGAATAATATTTTTCATTATGAATTTGAGGTTCTGATTTTCGATCCAATTTTAAATTACGAAAATGTTTATGAAAATTTTCTAAAAATTAACATCATTACTATCTTTAGGTATTTTCTTTATAGGGTACTAAGAGATTAAAAATTTCGAATTTCACCAAATCCAATCAAAAAAAATTCGATTTTGGAACATGTTTGGTTTTATTCCAATTCCCAAAATTCCCATTTTCAATTTTCCATGAAAATTTGTGGAACGAAATTGAAATTAGTTTTTCACTTACAAAAAAATAGAATTTTTCCGAAAGTTCAAATTTCGATATGATCCGTCCGATTTCCACCGTAGTTGTAGTATTGTGTGGCTCCCTTAGACAACTTTTTCAAATTCCAATCCAACCCATTCGATTTCCACCTCTGACTTGTAGTCTTGTGGCTCCCTAATACATGTTTTAGTGTATAGTTAACATAAAATCCCGGTTCCTCGATTTCTTTTAATAAAAATTGTATTCTTATAATTGCCAGGTCATTAGGCATAATATCGGGGATGACCGGTGGAGGAGGAAACGTGGGGGCGGTTCTTACACAGGTGATATTCTTCAGAGGATCGAGATACTCGACAGAGACAGGTTTAACACTTATGGGAGTGATGATGATTTGTTGCACACTACTTATTACATTGATATACTTCCCACAATGGGGCGGAATGTTCTGTGGGCCCTCGTCTAAAGGGAAGACGACCGAGGAAGATTATTACATGTCTGAATGGAGTTCGTCGGAGAGAGAAAAGGGTTTCCATAGGGCTAGTTTGAAATTCTCGGAGAATAGTAGAAGCGAGAGGGGTCGAAAGATTGGATCGGCAGCCACCCCCATTGATGGAACTCCAAATACATATGTTTGAATTGTGTAAAGAAACTTCTGGAAGTTATGCATGTTTTTGTTGCATGAATGATGTGTAAAGAATCTTGAGAATGGTTATTTTAGGAGCTCAAATCCTTCTGCTGTAAAAAGCATTATATTATGTATCTTCTTATGTTTTTGAGCTAGACGACGCCGTATCAAAGTGAATCCCCAATTTGATTTCGTAATTAGGGCTCGAATTGTTTGGTGGAAAGAGAGGCCCGACATATGAAAATTTGAGCCCACTTTTAAAGCCCATTAGTGTATTGTAGTTAATTCTAAAATAAAGCCCAGTCATAGGATTGTAGTAGTTAATTTTTCTTTTTCTTTTTTCATTTTTCATTTTTCATTTTTTTTAAAAATTCATATTTCAAGTGGGGAAGTCTAATTGAAACTTGAAAGTCGTTTTATGTGATTTTTCAAATCACAATTTAGGTTTAAAATAAATTAAACTATTCGAAATTTGATATACTAGATCAATCGACATGTACTGCTCGATCAATTATCCCGTAAGAGATGATATAGCGGTTAGAGCAAGTGAGCATGTGCCAATTGGTTTATCTGGATTTAGCGAAACTGAATTAATTTTGAACCCCTACATTTGGCCTTGCTCATTTATAAATCACACTCTCAGCTTAATAAAGAAAAGGTCTATACGATATCTGGTGTAACAGACATGATGATCTTGAACCGTATATCTATATAAAATAATAAATAAATATTCACTAAACAGTAAACACACATACACACATATAGATGGGTGTTATTATATGTAGATGAAAAGTTTAAGATACAGAAAAACTAAGTAAGCTAACTTACCTTTTACGCATAAAACAGAGGCCACCAACTTTTAAAGCTTTGATGCCAACCTTTGAATGATTTATAAGTCATTTTCTGAGTGCGCATGCGGTTAAAGATTAACCAGAGGATTTGGACGGTGCCTGTACCGAATTTTCCGTTAACTCGAACTCAAAAGAATTATAATTTATCCCTTTTTTCTACTTCCTCTGTCCCAATTTAAATGTCGTTCGGGGTTGTTTTGCACATATTAAGAAAATCAATAAATGTGCATAGATTATAGTAAAAAACAGATAAAATTACTAAAATATCCTCGACATTAATTGATTTTCAACTAATTAATTAGGAGTGATTAAGGGTAAAATTGAAAATAATGCAATTAATACTTCATTGAAAATGTAAAATGACAAATAATTTGGGATAAAAAACACTCTTTAAAAAGACATATAATATGGGACAGAGGAAATATAATATAAACATCTTTCCGTGCCACCAAAATTATAACTGAAAACCGAAAAGTGTGTAGGGTCCACCATATGACCTGCACTAGCACCACAGCCAACTCACTCTCCAATTCTTTCCACATAGCCCACACAAACAAGTGTCTTTAACCCTACTTTCATTCGGACTCGTAACAATATTTACGAGTTAGTTCATAATCGAAGAAAATCGAACATTTGACATATATAAATACCTGTAAATTATGAGCACCTCTGAGGTAAAACTAAATAATTTACAAACTCTTGGGATATTGCTAGTTACAAATACACCTCCCTAGTTATTTCTCTGTCTTACTATTACACTCTTATCAAGTTATGAATAACAGAATCTTGAAGATTTCATGAAATATTCATTCAGAATATTCAAATATACTCCCATAAAGTACGCGTAATACATCAATAGTTTGTTGGTTTAATAAAGTGATAATTTAGACAATTCACTCATTCTGTTAAGGTTTATAAAGGGCTGTAAATCTTGCATTTCTTTTCCATTCTTACAACCACACATCAGAGTACGTTCGATCCACCACACACCCACATGGGTATGTGTGTTTGAATATATGTGTATATATCATATATGTGGTGAAGAGAGGAAACCCTAGCAAGGGGCAAATTGTTCCTAGACAATTAATTAACTTAAACAAGATTAAAGGCTTACTTTATTCAATAATGCTAGTTTACATGGCTAACCAAGAACCCCACTACTAGTGGTGAAGTGACTAGTGACTATACTAATTGGCTGCTCTTTTATTAATTAACATTAAATAAAAACTTTAACCTAGTTAGCTAGCCAGCTAAACATTTAGAAAAACTACCAATGCCAACTATTATTTCCCTTATTTTAGCCCAAATACACCTTGTGGGACTTTGGGGGGCCATGGCCCCCAACGACTTCTCAAAAATCCAATATTTAATTATTATTTTTCATATACAAAAAAATAAAAAATAAAATAAAGGAATTATCAAACTGAAAATTTATTTCATTTTTTCATTACATAGAAATATTTAATGCAAGATAACCATCACCTTCTTGCACTTCAAAATCATTGCAGAAGGGAAGCAAATATTTAAATTAAAAAAAAAAAAACATATATTTAATTTATTTTATTACAAACAACTAATATCATGTGATTTTGATATCCTCTTCACAAACTCACTCCCACTTCTCACACAGTAGTCCATGCTTGCAGGGGCAAGTGGCCCTAGTGATTTCCCATAAGAATTCCAGCACAACCCTTGTTGAAATCCATGTTTGTTATTGATCGACGGCTCTAATTGAATCGAAATTAAATCGACGTCCGTGCATGGTACAGAGCTGCTGCATGCTAGATGAATAGGCTGCACCAAATAAGTCCCGATTATTTGATCGAATTTAACTCCTGATATTGCCACTGCACCTGTCTGATTCTTGCACTGATTCTTGTCACAGTAGTATTGGTCGATGGTTATCGGAACTTTCACATCGGAGACTTGAATATTCGAAAACGTCACGTTTTTCACCGACCCAATACCTCCCTAATTATATACAAAAATACGACGAATCAATACTATGTCAATTTGTTTTTTTAATTTATTGTTGATAATTATTTATTTAATTACCTGCCATGTTTTGATCCTTGCACCATATAGAGTATTCTGCATTACGATATTTTCGACTAGAATATTCGACACGCAAGCAGTACTTTTGTCTTTCCCTAGCCCTCCTAAACTGTTTATTTATTTATTTTTTTGGATTTAATAAATACATTGTAAGAAGAAAAAAAAAAATCAAGAAATATACTGTATATATAAATTAATGAACTAATTAATTACCTTATTCCATGACCAGGGCCACAATTTATATGATGCACATGAATGTTTGAACAACCTGTTTGTATAGACACACAATCGTCTCCTGGCCGAAAATCCCGAAAAAAATCAGTTACATATTGAAATTGTATAATTAAAAAGAAAGAAAAAAATGTTTGAAATTGCTAAAAATAGAAAGATTAATTCGATCGACCTGTTCCGATATCCGAATGCATGATTTCTACATCTTGAGAGTTCTGGAGGTGAATTCCATCTGTGTTTGGACTGTCTTCGGGGGCAGAAATCGTGACGTTTTCGACCTTCACCCCCTTCGAATTATCGAATTTTAAGTGGCATAACGGACTATTTACGATACTAATATCACGAACCGTGACGTTGTAGCTCGAATAAAATCTCAATGCCTGTTATCAATTCAAATAAAAACATCAGTTTCAAATTGCTAAATTTATTTTCAGACAGCTAACACAAGTTCTTACGGTTGGTTTGATTCCCGGAAGTTTCTTGGCTCTCTTCTTCTGCATAAATATTCATTAAAAATAAAATAAAGATCGAATTTTTATTTCTTAATTCTTATCAACATTGAAATTTGGTTCATTAATTACCTTATTGACCTGTGAAGAACACCACCAGTTTGAGCCTTGACCGTCAACTGTACCGGTACCTTGGATGGTGAAATTCTGAAGCCATTTGAAATTCATCCACTGATATAAATTCGATTTCGCCCACGACCCGATTTTCGGAGGTGCTAATAGAGTACCGTCAATCTGTTTCCGAAAAATCTCGTAATCATTACTACAAATAATATAACTATAGTTTTTCGAAGTTAATTTCAATTTTGGCGAATTTTTTTTTGGCTGACCTGTAAAACAAGATTCGGCATACAAGGGCCTTGAAGTGTCACAGGTTTGATCAGAAATTTAAATTCGGAAGGTATTTCCACGACGCCTCCGATAACCTTGCATGCGGATTTCCATGCCGATACAAGTGCCTGCTTGGTTAATAGTAGTACAATGATTATTAATTATCATTAAAACAAGACAAAACAAAAAAAAAAAAACATGATTTTATTTTTTTTATTATTACAAAATGTGCAAAAAATATTTTACCTTGGAATCGTCGGAAACTCCGTTAGCCTTAGCTCCGAACGACAAAATGCTAAAAACGGATGAATCGGGTAGTGGAGCTGGTGCAGGAGCTGGATTATTTTTGTGTTTTTTGTTCTTATGCATTTTGGTTTTCTTGGTATGGTATTTCCTAGCGTCGATCGATAATGCGGAGAAAACGAAAAGCCAAATCACGAGGAGGAGTACAAGAGAGAAGGCTCTTTTCATCTTTCGATTTAATTATTTATTTTTGATTTTGCAGTAGAAATTTTCTGTCAGTTTTATTGAGTTTAAGGTGGAGGGCTTTTTTCTGTCTTCAAACAGGGGAGGAGCTTGTCAGTGGCAGTTTATATAGTTAGAATGTTGGAGAAATAGCCATGGTTTTGGATTGAAATTACAAGAATGCCCTTTTTTGCTTTATCAGTGTAAGCACATATATGTGGTACCACTACCATATATCTGAAGATCTGTAACATTTTTGCAATGAATCTTGAATTGCTGTTATTTCACTGTAAATTGGCCCTAAATTTGTCTATTTTTTTTTATTTTTTTATTTAGACACTAATTATCAATAATAAATAGTTAACAATGTACTTTCAAACCAATTATTATTTGGAAAGTTGTATTTAAATAAATTAATAAGTGCTTTAAGTGAGCAATTATTTCTAAATTATCTTGTCACCCTTTTTTAATCTGTGATTGGTTAGTGGATCACTGATTCACTACAATTGAGCTTTAATACTAATAAATATTTAAAAAAAAGAATAAAAAGGATTAATGAAGAAGGTGTGACAGGTAATCTAGTTTGTGGATATGTAGGATCTCAGTTGGGAGCATAAGATGGTGATTCCCATGTTCTTTAGTGTGAGGATAAAAGAAAAAAGTTGCAAGAAAAGTAAAAAGATCAAGTTTTTTTTAAGAAGAAATAAAATATGGGTAAATTACGGTCACCCTCCTAAAGTAATGTGAAATTACGAAAAATCTCCTTTCCGTTTGGATAATTTTAACTATCCATAATTATGAATCTTCTTACACGTCCACTTTTATTGTGTCAAATTCAATATAATTTTCTAAATTCCGTGGAATGTTATCTAGTTTGTATTCGTTTTGTGCAAACTGCAGTTTTTGATGCACCACAATCTGATATTTACAATCCAAGAGACACGTCTTATGATCGTCTTGTCTCAAAATGTGGAACTCGAATTGGGGAAAATGGGTACAAACTGGAGCTGATTCCACTAAATTTGACACTGCAAGAGTGAACGTGTAATTACCCAAACATGAGTAGTTTTCGTAATTTGACCTTATCTGAGAAGGGTGTCGTAATTTATCCTGAAATATATGGAAAAGATTATATTGTCGAAAACTACTTACCTAATTTTCATTTTCTTCTCAAAAAAATAAAATAAATTAATCTCACTGTATTATGGGCGGTAAAGTTGAATTGTTTAGGGTAATAACCTGTCCTTCTTGCATGCTTTTGGCCCACCGATGTGGGACATACATCAAAGAAGGTTCCTCTTCCATTGTGTATGACTGTGTTGTTTTTCTTTTGAGTTTGGGTGTGTTAAAGTTGTACTTTGCTTCTTTTTTTTTTTTTTTTTTTTTTTTATCTTTTTATAATTAGTATTATTTAAGTCGAATTGAAAAAAGTACAAGAATATTATTAACAGCAAGACGAGTTCAAAATCGCTTCGACGTTTCGAAAGATACGATTTATTTTTCGAAAGTAATTGAATGCCAAGTTGAATCTTAATTGGACCAAAAACTCTTTAGAATCTTAGTTAAGGCAAGCTAAATATTCATCAAACCTTTCAATAAATTTGAGCATTAAACACTACTCCATAATAGTAGGTCCAATCTAGCCCAAAGTAATTAATGGCCCATAAAAAAATTAATTAAATTATTAATTAATTAAAGAGTTTCGGTCTATGTTAAATGTTTGGAGGGTTTGTTGTTTCATATACATTTTGGCATAATATAGAAAATTGTGTTTGTCCCACGTCAGAAGAATATGTTGATAACAAAGGAGAAGGGTTGCTATAAATTAATGAGAAGAGGTTTTTTGTTAATTACTTACCTGGACGGGGTGTATGGCTGATCAAGAAGGGTCATGGCCTAGGTTAGTGACCTCCATTGCACAGAGGAGGGGCGCTTGTCTAAGGTCGACCCAAGTGGTTGATCCTACGTCATAATTTGTGATAGTGGGACCTGCGTACGCGCGGCTCCTCCCCAATTTCTATTTTAATTTTATTGTTACGTTAATTACTACAATATTTACATTAAATAGCTCTTAAATTATATTTGTTAATATATCTAATTTAATATTTGACATATTCTATTTTTTTTTTGAAATGGTATTTTTGTTGTATGTTTACATTCTAGTTTATGTATTCTACAGTGATGAGATCAATTTGGTACATTTGGGCCGAACTCACCATACTTAGAATTATTGGGTCGAATCGATGACTAATTGAAATAAAAGCCCATCAAATTGGAGGCCTGATGAAAGGTAAGCACTAAGATAGACATGATGTTAAGAGAAGGTTTAGTGACAAGGAGATCGCTGAATAGACACAATATCACATAACATATCGTATAAGAAAGCGAATAAGGTATAGTCGGTGGCGAGCTCGAAGATAATTGGAAGGTCTTAGCACAATTTTCGTAAACAGATTAGAAATGTATTTAAATTAGGATCGATAATTGATAGATCAAAGTGAATCTCGGGATCAAGAATAGTATTTCTATAAATATGAATACGAAAAGCCCTATTAGGATTTCCGATTGAACATCGATAATACATTTTTACTCTCTTTTCTGAATATTTTCTAATCGCTTGTTCATTACCGGCGGCCCAAAGATCCGGCGACCGGCATCGAGTGAGCTCTATGACGATCGAATAACAATAATTATGATGTAAAAATTAATTCCAATTGAAGGCCGGTCAATGGACTTCCACTTAAGAGGCTGCATCAAAGTGATTGCTTGTAAATAATGATTATGTATGGTGACATATATTCATCATTTTTTTTCAAACGTGTTAGGTGTTGATTATCAAAGACCCCACATCTTTTCTTACCAAATATACCCTCGTCAAATGTTCACGTCCGCTTTTTGTCTCGAAAATTCAAAGTCAAAGAATAAACATTGACTATTCAATACTTGCTCCTTGACAAATTTCTTCACTTCCTCTTCTCTTTCCGACACAAAATTTATAGAGAGAGAGAGAGAGAGAGATCTAGAGAGAGATCTAGACCAATGATGAAGAAAGCAATCTTAATTGTTCTGGTAATTCTGCTATTACCACTACCAGAACAACTATCAGCAGATCCAAGAACCCACACGGTCAAATTCACATGCGGCAGCCAACTCGAGCACAACGCCTCAATCTACGTGCCAAACTTCATCGCCACCATGGAAAACGTCAGCATCCAAATCCGAGCATCGGGCTTCGGCAAAGCCCGAACCGGAACCGGGCCCGACGCAAACTACGGTTTGGCCCAGTGCTACGGCGACCTCTCATTGGTCGACTGCGTCTTATGCTACGCCCAGGCTCGCACGATCACACCCCAGTGCTACCCGGTCAACGGTGCTAAGCTGTTCCTCGACGGTTGCTTTATGCGGACGGAGAATTACAGCTTCTACCACGAGTATAGCGGGCCCACCGACCAAGCTATATGCGGGAATATAACCCGACAGAATCCGGAGTTCCAGGTGTCGGCTAAACGGGCTTTGTCGCGGGCGGTTTTAACCGCTCCGGATAATAACGGGTACGGACGGGTCGAGATGGCGGTGGCGGGTGGTCGAGGAAACGGGTCGGTTTACGTTTTGGCGGATTGTTGGAGGACGATCAATGCTACTGCTTGTAGGGCTTGTTTGGCGAAAGCTTTCGATTATTTAGGGAGGTGCTTGCCTATGTCGGAGGGCCGGGCGGTTAATACGGGGTGTTTCGTGAGATATTCCGACGTTAATTTCCTTAATCCGATAACTCGAAATCCGAGTAGAAGAGGTTAAAAAAAGTTTCTACACTCATTTTCTTTTCTTGTTTTACACTAGTTAATCGGACTCTATAATAGTCGTTTTAACAAGTATTAAGAAATTTAATAAATATGGCTTGATTTTAGGAAAATGTAACACGTGTAGACTAAAATACCCTTCTCCACTATTGAGTTGAGAAGAGAGTGTTGGAAAATTTTAATAAGGGTAAAATTGAAACTACGTAATAAATGCAGTATTGAAACTCTAAATTCTAAAGTGACAGCTAATATGCGACGTATATTACGGAACCGAACGAGTAATTCATTGGGCTTATTTTGTGTTACTTGTGCAGGGAGAGTTATTGTAATTGTAGTTGCAGCTGTTAGTGCAGCAGCTGCACTAATCATTGGAGCAATCATTGCAGTTCATATGTGGAAAAACAGAATTATTCAGAACAAGAGAAAAGGTATAGAAGCTTCTTGAATGTTGCTGTTAAAAATTAAACCTTTGTCTGAATATTGTTAAAAAAGACTCCATTTTTATTTCCAGGCGATGCAGAAAAATTAGTGAAAACCCTAAACGACTGCAGTTTAAATTTCAAGTATTCAGCCCTTGAGAAAGCAACTGATTCTTTTAATGAAGCCAACAAGCTCGGACAAGGTGGATTTGGCACAGTGTACAAGGTATATTAATTATTAATTAATTTGCATTTAAAAAATAAATTCAATAATAATAATAATTTCCAGTTTTGCAGGGAGTATTGGCAGATGGAAGAGAAATAGCAGTAAAGAGGCTCTTCTTCAACACAAAACACAGAGCGGCAGATTTCTTCAACGAAGTAAACATCATAAGCAGCGTCGAACACAAAAACCTCGTACGGTTATTAGGGTGCAGTTGCTTAGGACCCGAAAGTCTTCTCGTTTACGAATACTTGCCCAATAAAAGCCTCGATCGCTTCATTTTCGGTGAGTGTACTAACAAAATCATTTTTTTAAAGATTCTTTTTTTAAGGTTGTAATAAATATATGGCGTACTAATACAACGGTTACAGATTCAAGCAAAGGCAAAGAATTAAACTGGGAGAAGAGATTCGAGATAATTATAGGTACAGCAGAAGGGTTGGTGTACCTCCACGAGAATAAAAAAACGAGAATCATTCATAGGGATATAAAAGCAAGTAATATTCTCTTGGACTCGAGGCTTCGTGCTAAAATTGCCGATTTTGGGTTGGCTAGGTCTTTTCAAGAAGATAAGAGTCATATCAGCACAGCTATAGCCGGAACATTGTGAGTATATATATATCGAGCCTATACATATATGAAATGATAAATGTCGTTTCAATTTTACTGGTAGTGCAAATTTCAAGATTATGCGTAACTTTCTCGTCTAACCGCTGTTTTAGATGATTCAACTAGGGTTAGAAAGTCAATTTAAAGGGCTACAACTTTTATGCTTTGAATTTTGTTAGTTTTTGACCGTAAGATGGTCAAAATCACGTTTGAAGTGGACGAATCGTGGGTTAATGCAGTGTTTGTTCATTCATGCATAACTCTCTCACCCGATATGTAATCTAGCTGATTCAAGTTAGATTATAAAGTCAACTCAAAAGGACTGCAAATTTGGTGCTTTTTTTGTCAAATTCGGACTGAAAAATGGTCAAAATCACATTTGAAGTCAGAGTACAGTAAAATTGAAACGACATTTAACAGCTCCGTATCCATGATATAAGGCGACGTTTACCTTATATTTACTTAATAAACGAGCGATAAATTTTCTGAATTTTTTAAAATTTGCAGGGGATATATGGCACCTGAATACCTAGCTCTCGGACAGTTGACAGAAAAAGTAGACGTTTATAGCTTCGGTGTGCTTTTGCTTGAAATCGTCACAGGCAGACAGAACAACATGAGTAATAAAACCTCGGACTACGGTGACAGCTTGGTGACCGTAGTATGTTCCTAAACAAAGCCTTGCAATTATGTTAACTCAATTAAATTAATCGAGGTTTTTTGTGATTCTAAGTTCTAACACTAAGTTTTTATGAACCAGGCATGGAAGAATTTCCAGCAAAAAACGGTGGAGGAGCTCTTCGATCCGAACCTAGTGTTCCACAATTACGTCAACCTTAAAAACGAGGTTTTACGTGTGGTCCACGTGGGATTATTGTGCACCCAAGAAATAGCTTCGTTAAGACCAACTATGTCTAAGGCATTACTTATGCTGGCAAAGAAAGACGAAGAGCTACCACAGCCAACTAACCCACCTTTCATGGACGAGAAAACCATGGAGCTAAACGACATGAGTGAAATTACGTCATCGCCCCTCAATTATGGTAACGATTATTCGGTTGCCACTGTTTCCCACAGTGTTTTCTACCCAAGATAAAGTTTATAGATTAGGCTATTTATAGACGCGAAAAATATTGGTCCCGTTTGTTTTGAAAATAGAAAAAAAAAAGGGTTTTTATATATTGAAGAAACAAAAGTGGCGAGAAATACACTTACTAACGAGTTGCTACTAAATTTCCCATAAAGCCAGCATCGATCTCGTAATGTTTGCCCTCGGAAAACCCTGCTTCGAAAGCTAGCTTCTCAAGTTCATTACCTGCATCAGAAAATGTGAATTTTAAATTTGTTATCACTTATTATCATAGCCAAAACGAAACTTATTTTAAAAAAAAAATAAAAAAAATAAAAAAAATAAACCTGAAAGATATTCCTTGATCGAGTTCTTCAAGTACCGATACTCACTTGCTAGGCCATACCCATTGGCCACAGGAACCACTACATTGTCAATCATCCAATCCTGGAAAAAACAAATGTGTCGATATAGCTTACAGATACTTAATTTTGATTTACGACATGATCAACAAAACGTATAAGGTTTACCGGCAAGCAGATGTATATGTATACCTGAAGTGAAGAGGTTAACGGGCTCGTGCTTTTGTTGAAATCAAGAACGGATACTTTTGAACCAGGTTTTAAAACTCGACACATCTCTTCTAGAGCTTTTTTCCTATGTACTACGTTTCTTAGCCCGTAGCCAATGGTTGCAGCGTCGAAAGAAGAGCCGGAGAATGGTAAATCCATTGCGTCACCTTCAATCCACCTATTGTGCGCGTCAAATTTTATCGAGGAGGCGTAAATACTTTAGCGTAAATTTTTTAATGGGATTTCGTTTTAAGCAGCCAGACATGCTTACTCAATGTTCTTGTAGCAGGATTTCGATCGCTCGCTCTGTCGAGATGCAGCGATCTTTAATTGCTCTTTTGAGAAATCGAGAGCAATAACCTACGCAATTGCCATCACCATTTAAGTGAACCGGAAAAAAAAAAGAAAAAGAGACGAAGAAGAAATGACGAAGGAAAACCTTGCCATTGATTCCGACTTTCTCAGACAACAGAAAGGCCAAATCCCCACTTCCACAACACACATCCAACACAGTATCTCCTTCTTTTGCTCTGTTACACAAATAATTCGAATTCGATCTCTCGTTATGACTTCACACAATACATCAATTGTATATTTATCTTTAAAAAAAAATAAGACAATAATTTGATTCAGTAACGTGATCATTACATAAAAGATTGGATCTTTAACTACGGAAGGGCTCATACGAGTGCAAATAATAAACAAGAAAAGCAGCCGACCAGCAACCACATAATTAAACAAATACAGTAGAGCCTCGATATAAATTCATAACCTCGCTTAATTAATAAATTCTTCCAGTCCCAACATGGAGAGAACGTGCTAAAATTATAGTAACTCGATATTTAATATTTCGTTAAATTAATAGAATTTTTCTATTCTCGACTGTATTATTCATTTATAGAGGTTTAACCGTAAATGCATCGAACAAAAACAAAAGCAAATCGATATTACACAAAAAGAAACACACTACTAAAAATTAATTAACTATAAATACATCGAACAAAAGCATATCAATACTAGACAAAATAAAAATTAATTAATTAATATATATTTGTAAGGAGATTAGGGGATAAAAAAAAGAATATACCCGCTCCAAGAAACAGCCATCCTCTTCCATACTCTATGCCTCCCTAAACTCAACAAATCATTCAACTGCAAATAATTACCCAAAACAATTTTTAGCCCAATTACGCAGAATGGTGAAAATCAGAAGTTAGAGCTAAAGAAGCTTGAAAAAGGTGAAGGTGCGCACGTTATCATAGACAGGCGCAATGCGATTAAAAAGCGCCTGACGCTCAGCTGCGCACCGTATTGGTGTAATGACGGACCGGCACGCAGGTCGGCGTTGCCCTCCGGTCACGGAGTGAAGATTGAGCTGAAGTGTAGCCATTCTATTTTCAGTTTTTTTGCTTAAAACACCCTCAATTTTTCGTTGATTTTTATACAACTACACTTGTTCATTGTTGATCCACATATATTTTAGGATAAATTACGAAATCCCCCCTAAACTTAGATTAAATTATAAAAACCATCTTCACCTATTCGTAATTACCAAAAAACCCTGAGGTTTGTTTTTGTCTTACACCAACCTAGACACGGCCATGGCCCGGTTTTGGGCCCGAACAGTTGACCGGTGAACCGGCCCGTCGTCCCCGGGACGGGCCCGGTTCTATGAATTGGTGAACCGTGAACCGCCAGGCCGGCCCGGCCCGGCGGTTCACCCGGATTTAAAAAAAAAAAATCAAAAAAATTCAAAAAAAAACAAATAACGGCCGGTGAACCGGCCGTTATTTGCTATTTTTTGAATTCCCCCCCATTTTTTCTTATGAATACCCTCACACCCCATTTTTTCCTATAAAATTAAGTTAAAGTCCTTTTATTTATTTTCTTTTGTTTTTTTCTTATTTAAAAATAATTATTTTAATTTATTTATCCATTAAGTATTTTTTTTTTAAATATATATATAAATATAAAATTCCGGGCCGACCCGGAACCGGAGTGAACCGACGGCCCGACCCGGCCCGCCGAACCGTGCATAGTACGGGCTGGTTCCGGTTCTGGAAAAAGTGAACCGCGAACCGATTCGGAACCGGGCCATGGCCGTGTCTACACCAACCCATTACAGTGTGAATTTTCACATATTTTTTTTTATTCCATGGAACATACTTTATATAATTTCAGATATTTTCTTTTATTTCTCACATATTTAACATAATGTATAATAGACTGTAGGCATCTTCTGGTATAAAACTCGATCAACAATTAATCTGAGGAGGATTTTGGTTATAACGGATAGGTGGGGGTGTTTTCATTATTTTGTCCAAGTTCAGGGGGTTTTCGTAATTTACCCTATATTTTATTAGGACTGGAGGTGCAAATCTGACAAAATGTAGGGCTTTCGGAGAAATTTTAGTGTTTTTTTTTTTTTTTTTTAATTTAAACCAAAAACTCTTTCTAGTTTTTATTTAGAGTAAAAAGCAGTTTGCCCCCTAAACTAAGGGCCGTTTTGCACTTTACCCCCCAAACAAAAAAATTTTGCACGTTTTTACCTAAACTACGTTTTTCGTTGCACGGTGCCCCCTAAACTCAATTTTCCGGTAATTTTGAACGGAATGTTAAAACATGTGCTTTGCACGTGAGATTTTGAGGGGTAAATTCGTCAATCCACTTAACTGCTATATATTAAATATAAATAAATCATTAAAAAAAATAAACAAAAAAAAAAAAAAAAGAGAAAAGGGAAATTGTCATCGTCTTCCTAAAGTCAGTAACCTGGCAAAGAAACAATAGGCATTCTCAACTGGACAAGAAATGCTTCCTTAATTGAAACCCACTTTCCACCTTCAACATCCGAATATAAGTTTTCAAGATTTATCAATTTGATGAAATTGGGGTGAATTTGCAGCAGGGATTTCACCTTCAACATCCGAATATAGGATTCTCACTTGAGGTGGATGTGAAGGACGGCGGTGTGGGGGTTGCCTGAGCTGGTGAATCGACCGTCGGAAAGGATCGCATCCGTCGGGCTCGAGCCGATCGCGGCGAGCGTGACTGCCGCCGGGACTGTTGAAATGGCGAGTGCGGCGATTGGTCCGATCGGGAGGCGGAGGAGAATCCAAATCCGCCCCGACACCGAAAGGATCCGAATTCCGACCGAATCGAGACCTCCGGCTGTAGAACAGCTCCGATGCGCTTGTCATACAAACTCCAATTACCAAAATGGGCGGTTCCTGCTACCAAAAATCGGTCCTACAAAAAACCCAAAATTGTGGATTTATATATGTAAAATAGAAACGAAAAACGACAAAAACAAAATTCGAATTCTACCTGTTTCGAAGAAATTACTGAAATCTCTGAGCGTGTAGTGTAGGATTGAAGATGGAGGAATAGCGGAAAATGGTAATAATTGTGTGAAGAAAATGAAATAAATCTGCTCTTCTATTTTTTGCACACAGATTTCCTTCTCTTTTATCAGTTACTAATTATCAATTAATTTTGTCATAAAAATATTCTATCTGTTTAAGAAAATTACATAAATGTATTTATTATTTATTATTATTGGTGAACATTTGGAGAAAATTTACTCAATTATAAACATTTGGAGAAAATTTGTTCAGAAAAATAAAACAAGGGAAGAAGATGAAGAAGAGAGGAGAGACGATAGAGAAGAGATGATGATGGTCTGAGCATTTTTTTTTTTTTGGTTTTTTTAATGATGTGGATGTGGATGACAGCTTCTTTTTTCTTTATTTATTTATTCTTTTTTTTTCTTTTCCTTTTTAATATTTATTTGTATTTAATATTAAAGACGCAAGTGAAGGGACGAATTTACCCCTCAAAATCTCACGTGCAAAGCACATGTTTTAACATTCCGTTCAAAATTGCCGGAAAATTGAGTTTAGGGGGCACCGTGCAACGAAAAACGTAGTTTAGGTAAAAACGTGCAAAAATTTTTTGTTTGGGGGGTAAAGTGCAAAACGGCCCTTAGTTTAGGGGGCAAACTGCTTTTTACTCTTTTATTTACAGTTTGGTCCAAGTTTTCAACGGGCTGGGTCTTTGAATCTGAAAGCGAAAGCCCAGTCCATTGAACAAACTGTATATATAGAGAGAAATATTGCCTTCGTGGGCTCAACATCAACACATTAAAATCGATATAATTTCCGATTTGGATTCACAATTTTATTCCAAAGTTGTGACACCAATTTGAATTTCATCCAACAATATTTCCAGGAATAAAAATAAAATAATAATAATTACGTCATCTACTGTAATTTATGCAAAATCATTAATTAGAACCAACACTTGAGTGTTACTGGATACAAAAATGATTTGTTTATCAAGTCAGTAAGGTCATTTTCTTCGGATAATATACAGAGAGAGAGAGAGAGAGAGAGAGAGAGAGAGAGAGAGAGAGAGAGAGAGAGATGTTCAGCATATCAGCATTGAGTATTTATGCTAATAAACAACAAGAGAGTAATTTAAAAAGTCAATCTTCGACGCAGAAATGTCGAGCAGAAAGAGAGTCCATCATAGCCAAATGCATGTTTTCGGAAGGTTTCCAATGCCTCTTCCTCTGGTTTATGAACCAGTTATTTATTTGCTTCTGATCCAGCCCCGTCAATTCAGCCAACGACATTTTATCGCCCTCCTATATATATCATCATTATTTCGACATTATTATTTTTATGTTCAAACAAACATGCATAATTAATTTATTGGAGATTTTGTACTAACCGTTGGGTATGGCCATTTATAGTGAACGTTCCACCATTCGAGTAACGTTTGCCTCGCCTCTTTTGGAAGCTTACCTTTCTTCCTCTTTTTCGAAAACTCGAGCTTTAAGCTGTTAATGTGGTTGCCATACTGCCGCAATAGCCTGTCCTTTAATTCTCGATCTTCTATTCTCGTTTGATGATCATCCATTTCCGTCTCTCCTCCGCTCGCTTCTTCGTCCGAGGATAAAGCACCATTATCTGTTCAAATATTGCATCAAAATTTTATACAAGTCCTTCGAAAAAAATAACATCAAACTAAATCATGATTTTTTTATTTTTGTTAAACATTCAAATTAACTATCAATTTTAAGAAGTAATTAATGAACATATAATTAGATACTAAGGTGTGTTTGCAAAAGCTTTTGAAAAGTGATTCTCAGCTTTTTTTTCGGCTCAAAATCACTTTAGAAGTGTTTTCAATACCAACATTTGCTTCTACTAGCTGCTTTAACCTAAATATAAAAAGCACCGCTGGACCAACTTCTCTTAAAATAAGTTGCTCGAAATCGATTTTTCAAACAATATATTGTTAACTTAACTCATAATCAACAACCTCTTAAAGCTTTTGCAGACACCACCTAATTATAAGAAGTGATTTTTACTATAATAAATTAATAAATCATTTATTGAGAAAATATCTCCTAAATGTATATACATATACATTTCTTGTGAACTGTTAGTCAATTGAGCAGAGTTTGCTTAGTCAGTTGCCAACAAATAGCAGAAAACAGTGCAGAAGATTTCACATTTTATTAAATACAATATAATATAATAAAATCCCATTATGGGCCTCTACAACAAGGCCAACCTCACCACAAACTGGGCCCACCACTGAGTTTATTAACAGCAGAAATCACATGTTTTTCCATTCTTTTTCCCCCAACCACACGATTAAATGAATTATTAAAAAAGCATAAACTTCAGTATTTATTATAAACTCAATTATTTTTTATTATAAAATTTGCAAAAATAAAACATTAATAATATAAATAAATAGGTAAGAGAAAAAAATGAACCCATTTGAAGGCGTGGGGATCATTAAAATGGTTCCTTCGA